ACGCAAGGCTAGAAGATTATGGCAAAAATACCACGATCCTCAAATGAAAACGTTATTCAACAACTTAAATAATAAACTCAAAAATAAATTAAAAGAATTTAATAATTCCAACTTTGAAGACTATATATCGAATCTCAGTAGATTGGACAATTCTATTTGGCGCCCAATAAAGAGCAATAAAAAGCCGAAATCTATAAGCAATCCAATAAAAGTCGCCACAGCAAATGGTTTTTCCTGGGCTAGGAGTAATGAAGAAAAGGTTAAGTGTTTTGCAGACTATCTAGAAACAGTATTCAAACCTAATATTTCTGAATACAACGATAATTCACGAACGGGAAACCAGACTCCACTACCATCTACGATTCATCGTGTTCCTAGATTCTCACCTGGAGAAGTTCTCTCACAATGTCATTCTTTGCGTAATAGAAAAGCTCCAGGCATGGACCTCATCACTCCCAAAATGCTAAAGGAACTACCTAAAAAGGGATTCGTCTTAATTACTTACGTCATAAATGCTATATTAAGACTTAATTACTGGCCAAACGCTTTGAAATCGTCAGAAATTATATTGATAGCAAAAGCGGACAAAAACCCTGAGCTTGTTGATTCATATAGGCCAATAAATCTCATTTCCACTTTGGCAAAAGTGTTTGAAAAACTTATACTGAATGATATATTTGTTAATCATAATGACTTATTTCCAGATCACCAATTTGGTTTTCGACGCAAGCATTCCACGATTCAGCAATGCCACAAGGTTGTGGATAATATACTTAAAGCATTTGAAAAAAAGGAATACTGTACTGCAGCGTTTCTAGATGTCAAGCAAGCATTCGATAAAGTGTGGCATGAAGGACTCCTAACAAAAATTAATAATTTGTTGCCCGAATACCATCATTTTTTCCAGTCGTATCTACAGAACAGACAATTTCGCACAAAAATTGGTACTGATTTTTCTGATTTTCGCGTTTTTGAAGCAGGTGTTCCGCAGGGCAGCGCTCTGGGACCTTTATTATATATATTATATACAAGAGACATTCCGGTTTTGGAAGATACAACCATTGGAACCTTTGCAGATGATATAGTAATTATTTCTACTGACAAAGATCCACTACTGGCAAGTATCAAACTGCAACATCACCTAAATAAAATTGAAAACTGGTCTAACTATTGGCGCACAAAAATCAATGAAGACAAATCTCACCATATAACTTTTACATTAATGAAGGGTAAATGTCCTTCGGTGTCTATTAATAATAAAATTATCCCTGAATCTGCTTCTGTAAAATATTTGGGAATGCACTTGGATAGCAAATTAAATTGGATTACTCATATAAACAGCAAAACAAAACAAATGGAAAGAAAAACGAAGTCACTGTTCTGGCTCATTAATGGTAAATCTAAATTATCATTAGAAAACAAAATTCTACTTTATAAAGCGACAATAAAACCGATTTGGACTTATGGCGTAGAGTTGTGGGGCTGCGCCAGTAAATCAAGAATTGCATCTATTCAAAGGAAACAATCCAAAATTTTACGGTGTATTGCAAATGCACCTTGGTATGTCAGCAACCGAATACTACATAACGATCTAAGAATCGATACTGTCCAAGAGGTAGTAAAAAACAGAAGTGGAATCCATCACGACAAGATCTTCAACCACAAGAACCCCACATTACTTCCCGTACTACAAACATCACATATTAGAAGATTGAAGAAGAAGCATCCCTTCGATCTAAGGCATTAAAATGGAGTAACCCACTGGGGTGATCTCCGTCATTTTATGTATATAGAATTTCAGTATTGTTACTGGACTTCTAATAACCAACACAATAGCTTATAGAAATTGTTTTTTCTGATTGCTATTAAAAAAAAAAAAAAAAAAAAAAAAAAAAAAAAAAAATATTTGGCATACCAAATCATTATTTGTCTTTGATAAACCGAAAGCTAAAGATGTAACAATAAAATAAATAGTGTAAAAAAAATTATGAAGCTACCACATTTTTGACACAATAAATATATTGTTATTCCATCATTGCATCATTAAATATTTGTTTTATTTATACTTACTTTTATGGCAGATTTCATTTTCAGTATTATTACAGATCACTGTTCCACTAATTTGTATAACTATAAAAGTTTTAGTCTCCCACGTTTATAAAACTTCTAGTTTTTATGAGCAAGAACTGAATTAGGCACAATTTGACATCATCATATATTTCTTTTTAATTCAAGGGTTCTATTCAAATAGTTTATAATCAGGACTGTTTGGTAGATGTGGAGAAATATTTCAACAAAGCTCCAATAATTTTTAAATTGTTTCTATTAGCCGAATAGATTATTGCTTCAATTAATTTTGTGAAAAATCACCAGAATGACATTTTCCAAACTAATTTTGACATTTTTTGAGCCTTTGACACCATAAACAGCCTTCGGGATCATCGTCTTTGCAGATACAAAAATGCAAAATATGACAAAAATGTTTGTTTTGATTTTCATCTTGCAACGAACGCTAAACGAAAACTACGAAACTGATCAAAAAAGTATTTTCTATTAACTGACAGCTGAATTATTAACTGTTTGCATAAAAAAATGTGTTTTACATGTAGACGACCTCAGCAACCCTAAGAATTTATTTGAAACAATCTAAGAATAAAAACCGCACTTAATTGCCAACCTTGTACTATTTAAGGATACAATAAAAATCAGTTTGTTTTAAATTAATTCCATATCTAGCTATTGTTACTGACAGTGAGTAAAAAAATTACGTCATATTTTTTGTTGAACATAAGATAGTTGAATTAACTTATGCAACTTTTTCCGACTTACCTTTAACTAAAACTGCATGATTTATTACAAAATAATTTAAAATTATGTAAACATAACAACATTTAAACATCACTTCTTAGCAAAATTGCTCTAAACTTGTTACGTACTCGTATATAATATTGCAAAGGCGGTGAATAGTCTTGACTGCATGCGTTTACAAACAAACAACACGCCGGTATAACCAATACTGATTTATTTCTATTTTCACACTGAAACTGTTGCATGAACTTCTTCCTTATGATAACATAAGTGCAAAAACCGACGGGAAGACAAATATTTTGAATTTAAATATGAATAAAATCAAATATATTACAAGTTATTGTAATGTATGTGGATACAAAATTTTTGACACAAGTTGTTATAAGACCTCAGTATACAAAGCAGCCAAAAAAATCATGAAGTAATTAAAACTCATCCAAATTACCAGATGCAAGAATTGAAGAACATTTGATGAAAAGAACAAGAAGGATAACTATTTAGTTTATATTCTTATTTTCTATAAATTATCGCAACTTGTTTGAATTTCCTTGATATTTTTGTCTATGTTCTATATTTTATTCCTTATATAATACAACATTAGAAATCGCATTAGTCAATCGTAATCACAAAGTCTCACGTTCAAACCAGTGTTGCGAACAACCTGATATCAAATTGTAGTGGTATCAATTCTCACCTGAAAATATAAATGAAAACTAGTGGGGCGCATGGCATCGTGCCTTAAGGCAAATTGCTGAAACTTGCCGTACCGTAATTCAAAATTCGAAGAATGAAAATAATTAATAATTGTTTTGAATAATTTCAAATGTGCACATTCAACGAAATATTCACATTTACCGTAACATACACATTACACATTATTAAAATATCTATGAAATATGTGATAATTCGATGTGCATATGTCTAATGAACATTTTTGACCGTCAAATGTTTTTTTTAACTTTTTTTTATTGAGAGTTTATAAGCGCTGGACCTCCGTTCTCTCAAAAACTGAATTACGGCTTTTAGTTATTTTTGCCCCGTATCTTCGAAACGGCTAGACCTGCCTTTGCTAAAAACTAATCAGCACGTCTCCTTATCAATACGAATGGAATGTTTTTTAAATTATTCAAATTGGTTGATTCGTGTTCCCGAAATCGTCGACGAAAATTTGTATCCACACACACACACACACACATACATCAAAATGCTCTGAAACGTAAAGATAATAGGTTGTCAAATATCTCCCTTCCGCCTTTTTGTATTATAAACCAAGAGCAAAAAAGCGGAAGGGAGATATTTGACAACCTAAAATTTACCCTACGGAATAAAAAAATAAAAAATTTCAATTTCGATTTTTTGCGATTACTAAAATTTACCCTACGGAATGTTAAATACTGTAACTAAATTACAAAGTTAAAATTATTTATTTAAAGTATATAGCTTTAGAACTTTAGCCAGAATTATAACTAAAATCTGAATTATTTTCGATATGCAAAAAAAAGTTCTTTTTTGGAAAAAAGAAACAAATTTCAAATAAAAAAGAATAAAAATCCAACAGCAATTGTTTTGTCAACACAAGCAGTGTTTTTTTGAATCATTCAAATCGGATGCTTAGATCTCTCAAAAACTGGCATTTTTTGTACATTTAGCTCTGTATTTTTAAAATTGCTGGACCTGCCTTTGCCAAAAGCTAATCAGCACATCTTCCTATCAATAGGAATCAACTGTTTTTTTGAACCATTCAAATCGGTTGATCCGTACGTCCGAAAACGTGGACGAAAAATTGCGGACACTCAAAACACACATCTATTTTTTTCTGAGGTGTGCTAAATTTCGGAAACCTTCAAAGCGTCAAGATATACATAAATTTTCATTTTTGATTTTCGGCTTATTTCTATATTGGAGAATTTTTAAACACACCCAAAGGTTTTATAAATATTTCATAAACGTATTTATTAATATTTACAATAAACGCATGTTGAATATTTCACAAATTAAACATTTTAACAAAAGTTTTCTTTCAAATTTTCTATTGCCTAATATATGTTTTTTTCCTCATATTGGAAGCGAATGAAAAGCATCTGCGTTCTGAAACACAACAAAGTGATACAAGGATATGAAATGCATAGAGAAAACGCGTATAATACTTTAATTCAATTAAAATTCATATAACAGAATAGATATCGATTAATTTAATCCTGATAGATTCCAAGTACAGTGACTGTCGCAAACGTTTTCATATTGTCCCAGGACATTGTGCAGTAGTTGTCTCTCTGCGAATCCCATAAGAACTGCATCACGTTCTCATAAGATTGCAGCTTGTGCTCACCTATCGTCACCAAAACGATAATGCGATACCTAGAATTAATTGAATCGATTCATTTGACTATTTAGAATAAACTGAAACACAAACACTTTATATAACGGGACAGAATGAATCTATTTCTAAAACTTTCAATGAAATCTAGACGAGCTTTCAGCTCACGAACGAGATGAAAATTTTACTTTAGTTTATAGAATATAAAACTAGGGAGTAAATTAAATATCACTTTTTATTAAATGATCTGGTATATCGTCCTTGATCTGATATTTTGTCAGAAATAAATATTTACCAGCAGAGTTGGAAAAGCTATTAATTTAATGTATCTCTTGTAAAATTGCTTTTGTAACTTAATTTACTTCTTTAATTATTATTCTTTATTGTTTACACCTTCGCCAGGCTAAGTGTACAGTTGGTCCTTTTTACTCAACCCAAGTGTAACCTTTTATAGAGCCAGGCTAAGTGTACAGTTGGTCCTTTTTACTCAACCCAAGTGTAACCTTTTATATAAAAAACTGTTTAATCTAACTTGAAAGTAACAGTACATGCAAATAAAACAATTAAATAACGTATACTTAAAAATTATATTAAGGTCTCGTAAACTAAACAACAGTGCTCACAAATAAAAAATTAATGAAATAAAATACTTTTGTTATGAATATTCATACATTATCTGCCGATAGCAACGTCGTATAGGGGGCATCCATTAATCACGTGAGGTTTTTAGGGAAGGGGGAGGGGGGTTTAATAAAAAATCACGAAATATCACGTGGGGGAGGTAGGGGTATAGTAAGATATCAGGTGTATTTATTGTTTAACTGATTTTTTTTTAAAAAATCTAACATTTTCAAAAAAAATTAAAAAAAATACAGTTTTATCACGTAACTAAAAATACACGTGATGTTCGGTGGGGGAGGGGTGGGGGGTTAATTTTGAATATTACCAAATATCACCAAGGGGGAGGGGGGGGTCCAAAAATCTTTAAAAACCCGCTCACGTGATTAATGGACGCTCCCTAAGTACCAAGGGTGCTGGTTATGCATATTTTTTTCCTGTACTTTCCAATATTGTTAAAAATATAACTTTACTTGTTTTTGAAATTTTGGTGGTAGATCTTCTTACTTGCGGACCATTAACCCCCGCTATAACCTATATATAATAATAATTTATGATTTCACTCATTTAATTTATGATTTTATTTTTGTAAATCAAAGCCTGATTTTTTTATAAATTTTTATTTATTATTATTACTACGTTATGGGCGTTAAAAGATGCCCCCATCAGAAACTCTTAAAAACAAACAAAAAATATTTTTATAAATAGACTTTTTAATCATTTATAAATTGGAATAAACTACTTTTCACCTTTAAGGGTCTAAAAAATTTATATAATAATTCACTCGTAATCAAATTATACTAAAATATAATGAATGAAAGTTTCTATGAAATTTATAAAACGTATGATAATCTAGGTGTTTTTGTCTCAAATTAGTCCTGTTTCCTGAGTCCGTTAAAATTGATAAAAAATTGTATAAAATATATAAAAATAGACTTGTTTCATTTAACCTGTACAGCACTGTACTGTTAACATGTACTTTAAAAAATTGCATAACTTTGAATAAGTTGAAAATTATTCAATATGTAATTAAACTAGTTGGTATTGGTATTTTGCCTTGAGGCAAGTTATATGAACTATCCGATATGTGTAAATAATCGACTTAATCAATAAAGAATGAATTTATTTATAAGTGATTAAAAGTATTCCGAGTGGATTTATTACACATCATTGATAACGAACGAACACGTTAACTAGGAGTACTTTCTAAAAGCAAATTTTCACAAATCAATAATTTTTATAATTGAACCAGTTTCCGTAAGACTTTAATGGTTTAGTATGTCCATTAAGACCTAGTACTCTATCGTTATACCAAGTAAATCGTCTAATTTTTAAAACTTTGATGAATTTTTAAAATTAAACTACTTGTCGTAAGGCCGTAATATTTCAGTAAGTTCTATAAGACTATGATATATCCCCTTCGGGAAGTTAAAAAAAATCATAATAATCTGGAATTACATTTTTTGTAAAATCATTCTGATGATCGATGCTGGTATATCTGCGATTAGTAAACTAAATTTATATGTTTGACACTCATAAGAACTATATATTTTTTAGTGTTTATCAAAAATAATAAATTTGTTATTAATTTCTTATTAATTTCACACTCCAGTTTTTAAAGCTTTTGTCAAACATCTCTTAACAATTCTTTATTTGCAGTGACTACAGAATTTATATATATATATATATATATATATATATATATATATATATTATTACCTTTCATAAAGTTCTTCCTTAATTTTTTCCCTCAATTCGGAACTCATTCTTTTAGCCAGTGCCACTGATTCAACGGCACTGTAAACATGGTTTTCTAATTCGCCTGGTACATATTCCTGCAGCAGTTTCTGCACTTGCTCCACGTTAAATGGTTTTTGAGAATCCAGGCGATACGTGGGCATGAACTTTGCTAATTGCTAAAGAGAAATGACCACAACTTATTGAAGCGCGGAAAACGTTTACCTATATACTTTCAGCGCGTAGAATTATCAAAAAAGTCTAAGAACTAGGGATGGGCGACATTTGTCATCGAAAGACAAATGATGATTTCGAAAAAAAACATGAGTGTTATATCGAATATTGAACGCAAAAGTTTTGATAATTCTACGCTACAATAATTACTCTAATTACTTGATCGATAAAACTTGTTATATATGTTAGAATATTAAAATTTGACTAAAGTGCAATGTTCGCAAAATTTTATAGTCGAAATCCAAAAGCTCTTGTATTGACTTTATGTATACAACTTGATATACGTAAATATTTATTTTAGGATGCAAATATTAGACTCGAGTGAAAGTTTGCAAACTTTTTTTAAATTTAGCCGGTAATTCAAAAACTTTAATGACTTTATCTATTGAAATTAACTTATTTATTTCAGAATGTTAAAATTTGACTACGCTGTAAGTTTGAAAAATATTTTATACAAACTAACCGATAACTCAAAAACTTTAGTGACCTATCTATAACTATCTATAACATCTATAAACGTTCACAGATAAAGAGGTTCACCGCCGATATATCACAAACAAATTTACAGCATTAATAATAAAAGCGATTTACTCTCTGTCTCAATTGAAAATACACCTATATATATTATTCAAAAATAACATCTTTTAGCCAGCATATTCTTTAGCTTCCCGAAAGAAAAAACTATTTTTCCTACAGAAAATTCGATTTCGTAGTTTTATGTTTTTTGGGTAAGACCAGTCGAAGAGTCTCGTAGAAAACTTTACTGGCTATTGAACAGAAAATCCAAATTAACATCATGGAATAAGTTGTTACTGTATAGAGTAATATTAAAGCCAATGTGGTCGTACGGAATTCAACTGTGGGCAACATCAAAGAAATCAAACATCACAATCATACAAAGATTTCAAAATAAACTCCTGAAAGAAATAGTAAATGCCCCTAAATCTTGTACCAAATTGGCTCATACATAAAGACCTCAACATTAATACAGTACATGAGGAATTCCAGATCCATAGTAACAATTATAAAAAGAGACTCGTAAACCACCTTAATTCTTGCATAAAACACCTCTTAAGGGTTCACAGGAATAAAAGATTAAAGAAAAGAGACCCCTCTCGGACATATAACAGCAAAATAGGATACCATCATACCCGGACGCCCAATTAATGGATTGGCATCCGATTTAGACATTCTACAAAAGACTATCAAAAAATTTGCTGATATTTTATTTATGTAATAGGTGCAAATACATATGAAAATTAAAAAAAAGTTTTTGGGTGTTCCAAGTCATTTTGAATCGCTTGAATTAAATGTGGAAAAGTTTTATTTTATGTTCTACACAATAATATTTAGAAAACTTTGTTTTTCTTTGAACTTTTAGATCACTTTGTTTTAAAGCTGAAACATGATAATAAAAGCAACTTACACTCTCTGTCATCGGAGCACGCAATTATAGAATTTGTACAAAAACAACTACGAATATCCAACACTATGGTTATTTTGATTTAATTTTTTTTATATAATTGTCCATCCATAGTGGAATCTACGTAAGAATCAATTACTCTTGCGCATATGTAAAACATACTACATGACATGTGTAATTTTTTATTGGAAATTGTAAAACTTTTCTTAGTCAATCTTGCGTGACATGCAAAAGTTTATCATTTAAATTAAGCTTATAAGTTTATGTAGGTCACATTCGGAAATATGTACTATAGCAACATGCGAGATTTTTTGCTTAAGAACAATTTCATTTATAATCGAACTATGAATATAATTTATCAAAGTATATAATTATAGAATATATTTAATCAAAAAGTATAGAATATAATTAATCAAAAATAATTATAATCCATAACCGTATTAGTTTCTCAATTCTTATTTCTACGTTTCAATAAAATTAAGTAAGGGTAAATGAAAAAAAAATGCATATATATATATATATATATATATATATATATATATAATAAAAATAATAGTAATAGATTTATTTTAACCTTTACTATTTTCCAATAACTCATTTATAACATTTGTTATTATTTTTTGTCACACTGATGATGAGACAAATCACGGATTCAAAACGTTTGTAACTTTATGTAATAAAGTTAGTGCAAAAATATAGAATGTAATGTGTTTTTATCTACTTAATTATTATTCGTTCCTAATAAGATTAATAAGACTAATATATACTAATAGTGCCAGTATTTTCTTAAAGCATATATTTAATATTTTACAAAATAATTTATTAAATTTCTTCAAAAAAATTGTTTCGACGCTTTTCATGAAATTTAATATGGAGATAAAGTTCATGCACTAAACAGTCCTACAAAAATTGGTTCAATATTTAATTAAAATTTTGAATAATAAACTACAATTTTAAGACGTACAAATACGTGTCAGCGCACTATAATTAATTACAGATAATTTAAATGTGTTTGAGAGATATCAGTTGGAAATCGCAATTTTTAGATTTAAGTGAAAGCTTTACTTTCAAACTAATCAGTTGAAAATTTTATCTAAATATCTAAATCTCAGTTTCGGTAGATCAATTAATTATTACATCTATCGGAAAGTTTTTGCAACTTGCCCTAAAGGAAAATGTTAGTTTCAACCAGTTTTTTTTATTGCTTCTTATTTACTTAATTAATATTTGTTCCACTGATCTACGTATAATACAAAACTTTTATACTAATAGACATTTACTGCATTGATTCCTATCCTTATTTTATTACTTGAATTTAGTTTATTAATTTTATTTGCATCTTTTATTATTTAAACCCGGAGTGACTGATTCAAGGTATTACTTGAATTTAATTTATCAATTTTATTTGCATACTTTTTTATTTAAACCCGGAGTACAGATTCAAGGTAAGTGACACTGGGTACGGTCGGGCCACTTTTTTTTTATCAGCCATAATTTTGTTAATTTAACAGCTAACTGGGGTAAGAGTAAATTAATCGCTATTTCGCACATTTGTCTACGTAAAAATACTGAAATACAATAGTTAAATTCGAAGTATTAGTCATAAAATCTAATCATACAAAAATGCGAGTGATTAAATAATAAGGCATAAAAATTATTAAATAATAAGGCATTAAAAACTTTCATATTAAACTAAGATTAAAAACTATCATATTAAACACTCTAAAACAAATAAAGGACGTACTAGCCCCCTTAGTAGTGCAAGCAGCCTTTTCATCAAATTACCTACCGAAATAAAAATATTGACTATTGAATAAATTTAAAACTGAATTAAAAAACTATACCAGATATAAAGAAAATTGACCTTAATAGTTAAATACGACTTTTATACTTGATTTCTTATATAGATGTAATATGTTAAAAGGAAATAATATGAAATAGATAAATATATATATATATATATATATATATATAAATACATATATATATATATATATATATATATATATATATATATATATATATATATATGTATAGGCATAAATGTATAAAGCAATCCATAATCTCTTATACCAGGCACCCCTGCCTGTCTAAGATATGGATATATATGAAATGTATATATTGCTAAATAAAAAAAATAAACATCAAGAGAAAAAAATCAATAGCTTAAACAATATATTCATATACATATAAATATAATTTTTTTAACAAGGTTAACAAGTATTCTTTGTGAAATATTTATTTTCTTTTTCCTTTCTCTTTCGTATTTTGTCATAGTTAAGTTATAATTCTTTATCTGTTTAATCTTCACCCGAAAATGACAAGAAAAACATGTCACAGAATACCTTTGAAAACAAATCATCATTATGACTGAGCTAAATTATATAAGCAAAAACTAATTGTTGGTAAATAATAACTACTATTGTTCTTTAAAAGCAATGCGGTCTACAGATCAAGTAAATGTGAGGCACTGACTAAAAGCAATAATGGAAACTTGTTCGAACAATCATGCTTTATCCTTCTCCCTTCGGACCCTATTTCAAAATCTGTATAGTTTAGCTGTTATGACGACTGTCATTACTGGCATAACCGTACCCAGTTTCCTTTACTCTAATTTTACTTGTAATATCATTATAATAAAATGTATAAATATGAATAATTATGTTAAATTATATAATTATTTTATTATTAAACAAATTTGCTAAATGGTAATGAAATATTATTACAAAAACTATTTTCTTAATTTTTTAACTGCATTTCCGTCCGTTACGTTATAAGTGTAACTAATACCAAAATTACAAAAAATACTTAATTAAATAGCCGTAAGTAATACAGCATTTAATAACTGCAGAAATGCCGAAGGCAATTGAGCGTAAAGTTGCATAAAATTCATTAAAAGCGTTTTAATTAACAAAATCTTCTACTAAACTTACTCGTCTTACGGACATCCATCTCATATTCTCAATGATGACAACTTAATTAAAAAACTATTAAAAATAATTAATTATCAAATTAGGCAAATTAACTTAGTCGAACGCTTTTCAGACTGCTGTTTATGAAAATGTTCTCTCATTGATCAAACACAATTGATTGAAATTTATTAATAGAATCTTAGGCAATGCGCTTGTCGTAATCTATTATTAAGTTGATTCGTTGAGCATAAATAGGTAATTAATAAATCTACTCATCCACCCCTGGTTTTGCGAAGACACACAACGGAAAATCGATACGTGTGTGCACACTCGTGTACTTGAATACAAACATATGTTAACATATGTATGAGACAGCATTGGGATGGAAATAAATGAAACTTTCAAACTTGCTGGTCGAACGCATCGTAACGACTTCGCCCTATATAGAGTTTCTTGCGACCGCCACGACGTTGCTAAGGGTAATAAACAAGATGAAGCGAATTATATCGATAGATGTAAACACAATAAATGATTGTCTGCTTAATAACTAACTATCTAATAAAATAAATATCTTTGAAAATTTGTTTGCAAGTAA